AAATTGCAAAAAAACTATAATCATTATGTTTTTTTTACGGTTCTAATTTCTTAATGAAATGCGGCCCAGTGCTCTTCTGTGTTCTGGATCTGCCGCTGGATCCGGTCCAGCCCAAACTTTGATTTGGTCCGGTGTGGTCCAGTCCCAGACTGGACCATTGCACACCCCTAGCTATTATCTTATATATAATAGCGGACTACACTTTATTGACCCAAACTTGTCACTACTGTTTCATTCTTTGTCGTCTAGCAAGGGAAGAGTGAAGAGAGCTATTATTAAAAGCAAGCAAGTAGCAACCCTTCACCACATTCCCATCCCTTCACCGCAATCACAAGCAACCGTTCAGTAATGTCCCATCTCACCATTCCAAGCTATAGGCTCTTGCCCACACGCCACCACCTATATCCTCCCCTTACTCCTCTAAGTGGAGAAGACCTCCCTTCTCTGGTTCTATCCTTCCTTTTCAATTTCAGCAGCACCTCCTCTTTCCACACCCAACTCTTCTGCCCACCTCACCACCATGAACTTCACCATCTTTTCTAAGCTAGCATGGACGGCTGGAGACCCTAGGCGCTCCGGTGGGGTTTTCAAGTTATCGACAGTGTGGACGAACGAAACCGGTGAGTTCTTTTTCTCCTATTAGCTCCTTCTAGGCAATGGTTTCCGGCCTCCCCGCATATCTCTCCCTCGGGAACTTTCATTGCAGTCTTTCCCTGTTTTCCTAGGATCTCATCGTTCTTAGGCTAAGATCCTTCATCTCTACTATCCATCGTTTTTCCTGCTCCTTCACTCTGAATCTCAGTTTCTTTTCTTTTCCGCAGTCGGATAGACTTCGTCTCATCTTGGGCAGTGACTGGATTCATGGATGAACTCAGTATTTTGAAGTTCACGGTATATGAGCAGATTAAAATGATGAAAGATTCAATGATCTTTGTTTCTTGGTTCTTTTATGGATGAAGTTTTATTTTAATTTATTTTCCTTTTTTCCTTCGGATATATATAATCCAATCTGGGTACTAACTAGGAACAGTTGCAGGATCATACCAGCAACAATATGCAAACAGCGAAGAGCATTTTTCAGGTGGGTCCGGTGGGATTGTGTGTTAGCTTCCCGCCATTCTTCTTTCCCAACAGGTTTACTACTTATTATTACCTCCCTTTGTGTTTTGGATTTGTCTTGCTCATGTTTGTTGTTAAAAACCCTTGATTTATGTCATTAGTTTTGTTCTTTGCTGCTAGGCTTTGGAAGCAGATAAACAACAATCCTTTCTTCATCTACAACGATTGCATTCTCACCGTCAAGCAATGGAAAAAGCCCAAATCTTACAACCTTTAAGGGTTCCCAGCTCCAAATTCCACCACCTCTCCGGTATCAAAATGGAAACGAGAAGTAAGAGGAGTTCGAGCTGGCATTCAGTTTGTTTTCCACAGAACTCCGAAGCTGTAGTACACCGACAGAAGGATATGGATACAGAAGGAGAGAGATATACTGATTTGTCTGCTTCAAATTAAGGTTATAAGGAGCACTCATCCCAAACTTTATTTTGTTAGTAGGGACCCTATTATGAAAATGGCATTTCATGTTATTGGAGCCATGGATATGAGTTTAATAGATTTAGATTAGAGAATTGCCAAACTCAGTTTTACATCTATTATTGAAAGACCGTTTCCAAGTTTGCCTCCTGTTGAGTTAAACCCAACATCCACTTCGTGACCTTATTATTAATTTGTAGCAGGTCCTTCCCAATTTTGGGTATATGTTTTGATTGTTTTTCTCCTGAATCAAAGCCTCACTTCGTTAACTTCTTCAAATTGATTTTGTTCTAAGTTTTGAGCAACATCAATTTTGCTGAAACTTCCTTTCTTATGTGTGATTCATACAATCTTTGGTGTCACAGGATGATGCCGAGGATCCTCGGCTGTCGTGTTTGGATCTCGGTTGTGGGCTCAGTTAATCGCCAAACTTCAGTGCAGGGCGGACAGAGAGCACAGAAAGACGCACAAGAGTGCATTAAATGGGTTGAAAGGTGCTTGCTTTGCTATATTGTTTGTTTCAGTTAAACAAAATCTCAATCCTTGCTGCTCAGTATGGGGTTCAAGAGGAGTTGCAGGATATCTCTTCAGTTAAAACTTTCAGAAACTTTTCTGAATTGATTTTCATGGATCGGTTCGTTTCGCCTCTCAACACTGAACCTTTCAGCTTCCATATGAAACTAATTATGTTCACCATCATTTGCATTTACATGTGGGAACGTGTAGTATAAGCATGCTTTTGCTGCTGCTAGATTCGAGAAACTTGATTCTCCTACACCATCATCACTTGCCTATTCCAGTCCATTCCACTAATCCTTGAAACTCTTCAAGTAAATGCTATTTATTTTAATATTGTACTTATTTCGAGCATCATTTTTGCCTATTATGATTTGATTTCATGAGTAATTAAAGCCCTTAAATTAGGAGGATGCTTCTTCTTATACTGCGGTGCAGGTAGATGTTAACACATCCGTGTTAAGCAGAGGAGGCTGCAAGGAAGGTAGGAGGATTTAAATATCTCGATTGTGAAGTCCGAATGAAAGGAATTGCCAAATACTGCGACTAAAAAGATGGTAAGTCTGACGGGTATGTTGTTTGGTTGCTTTTGAAGTGGCAATCATGCGAGTGCGACTACATATACTTCTAAAATTTAACATTTGTGTGCTTTTTATTTCTTACCGAGGCTGTTGCACAAAAAGGGGAGGTGAAATTGAGTTTCAAATCCTTTTGAATATGGAATTTGGTGGTGATTAACAATTTAACATGAAAATTATAGCTTGAAATATGTGTTTGCACAATATAATTGAATGTCTAATGCATGTTTGCATAGGAGGCCTTTCTTGATTAAAAACCAATGTTGTACTTGGTGGGGAGGGTAGAATTTCCTTTCAAAAGATGTAAACTTTTTTCTTTTTCTTGCAATCCCTACATCAGGTCCGTACTATCATACCTATCATTGATCTCTTTCTCCAACCACCAAATCTAAATTTTGGTTAATCAAAAGATATCAGCTGACACAAAAATTAACTACAGTTCACTTATTAGCCTTTTCATGGGGTTTTATTAGTCTATGTCCTCCTTCTGCCAATGGATATGTATGGAAAGGGAAATTTGAACCACGCATTAAATTGATGTGGTGAATATGAATGTAGGTGATGCTTGATTTTGCTGAACTGGACCTTGAAGTTACTATACTGTAGGCTACAGTTGATGCTCACCGATAATGATACCAGAGGAGGATGAGTTTATTCTTGCCTTTCTTTTGAGTGACTTTAGGTAAGAAAGCAGGCAGTAATGATAAAACTGATTTTCTTTTGTTTTACTTCAGTTCCAGCTGTTTTCAGCGTAGAGTTCTATTTGTTTAGTTTAAGCCATTAAAATTAATTATTAGGATCTTCTTTCTTGGTGTAGGCTTTGTCAATTGTCAGGTATATCAATCATCCTAAAATTGAGCTTCCATGCAATAAGCATATGGTGTGTTCGGGCTGCTGCCAATGCAGTTAAAAGCGCGATTCTACCTAAAAGCGGAAAAGGGGTAAAATCGAAAAGCGGTGAATCAAAGCGTAAAAGCGTAAGTTTTTTATGCATCATGTATAATAGTTAAAAATCTGTTAAGTACGCCATGTATTATGTAAAATATGAGTGCATGGATTTTAGACAAGTGAATAAATACATGCAATTCATGTCCAAATTAAAGCAAATTCATAACATCTTAACAATAAGTTCATAAACATTAACCGTAACCCACAAACGAGTAGCATATACATTAGAAATACCACATATACATAATTTAGTAGTAGCATACGTAGGTAAACCCGTAGGTTATACGCCTATTGGAAATTATAAGTAGTTTCCTTCATTTTGCTGGGTTGGTTTAAATTATTGAGAATTTGTGAGTTGTAATTTAGCTAGAAATACCTGCTAGGTTATATGTTCAGGGCGGACTAAGAGTTGAGAAGGGGAAGCATCTACCCACCATTTAGGAGTCATAGGTGAAGTGGCGACGGGGTGGGACAAGATAGAGACAGAAACTAACATGATGTGGCGCCAGCGAGTGGCGACAGGCGACGACGAGTGCGACGGGTGCTGTCGCGTTGGAGCTATTGAGTGCGACGGGCTTGAGCTTCGCTGGAAGGTGGCGACGGCGGTTGCGGACTTGCAGCGGCGGCGAATACTTCACTGGAAGGCCGGCTGCGCGGCGGCGCAGAGTGTGCTGGAGTGCTGGAGATGGAGGATTAGGGATTGCGAAAGAGTGGTTTCGCAACCTCAGCCATATCCAACCCCTTTCCCCCATTTTTTTTGTCCGAAGTGATCAAAATGGCGTCGTTTTTGTTTGACGGAGACAATTTTCTCCTTTGCTTGGAATCGGATAAAAACGGTATGAAAGCGCGCTTTTATCCGATTTTAACGATTCTACTAACGCTTTTGACTGATTTTGAGTAAAATACGATTTTATTAGTGATTTGAAACGTTTTCCTACCCTAGAAACGTAAAATCGTACGATTTTACACTTTAAAGCGCGATTTTGACTGCACTGGCTGCTGCAACATTTCTTGCCCTGCTACTTTGTGATTTTGCTTTTGCAAATTTTTAATTTAGTCATTGTATTGTCCTGTTTCTCAAACAATGTAGTTTTGTCTTAAATGTATATGTAAATGTATTTGTATGTAGATGTAATTTTTGCAACTTAAGTCCCCGCGGCGTAGCAGCGGGTATTTTTTCTAGTAACCCTTAAAAAATAGGACGGGTATGATTATATCCAAATACCCATTGCCCACTCCTATATATAGTGATAGTTTATTTCGTGGATGCTTCCTTTTGGTAAGTGAAGCAGGGGGCATAGAGTGAGCAGGCAGACACTATTAAAAACAGAACAATGAAAGGTACCAGTTTGTAGCAATGGAGGAAATTGCTGCTGGGTTGGTGTTGCTGCCACGTAATTTGGACGTGTACTATATCCCGACAAACAGAGTAGATGGAATCATTTTGGCTTCCTTTTAAACACCCAATTTCCCATCCTCTGCAGTTCGAGCGAAAGCCTCCTCGGCTTCGTCTTCTTCTCATCCCAACCAACTACTCAGCGAAAGAATCTCCACCTCCGTACACTCTGCCAGTTAAGTAATAGTTTCTCGGGCGGGTTTCTGATCTTATCTCTGGAGAGCAATCATACCAAACACATTATTATTGTTAACCCAAAGCAAAGAACGGACAAAAAAGAGAAAGGAGAAGACAATAAATAAGGGGAAGGAAGAAGAAGCTCCCTCCCTTTTTTTTTAATATATCTTTCCCGTGCTTCTCGTTGCGCCATTTCTCGTTTACAAAAGCTTGTCAAAGACCCAAAGTTCCTGTCTTGGTTCTTCCTTCCTCTCACCCTCTACTCCAATTGCAACCTCCCTCTTCAATTTGTAGGGATTTTCCCATTCTTACACAGAGCAATGGCTGCACAACCAACAGAGTATGTCTCGGCCGGTGAAGCAGAGGACGCTGCCGCAACAGCAAGGTTGAAACTTTATTTGATCAAAACTCACTTCCCTTCTCCATTGCTTAGTTGCCTTTGTCTTTTGGGGTTCCTCAATTCTCATGGCTGTTTGTCTGATTTCTGTTTTTGACAGTAAAACCAAAATGGTGCATGACCTTCTCCAAGGTATTCATCTCGTTGCTTCGATGGAGGCTATTGCTCTTGGTGCTCAGGCAGGAATCCACCCTTGGATTGTTTATGACATCATCTCCCATGCCGCCGGTAACTCATGGTTTGTACTCAATATGCCCTTTGACTCACTCCAGTGTCTTAATGAATTATCAGCTGCAAAAGGGATTGTGTTTGATCCATGATTTCAACTCTGTGCAATGTATACCGTTGTTGAAAAATTTGCCTGAGCTTTTTAGTCTTATCCCCGGTAATTTTGTTACCGAATTGAAGCCCCTCTTGACCAAACCGATCAAGACTGCTGAGGCCAGCAGTTAAACGTTTCTACATCAGACACTTAGCAGCCAAGCTGTTTTACAAGTTTGAACTAGATGAAAGCTAAGAAAACTACAATGATTAGAAAGGCGATGACTATTCAGATGTTTACAACAGAGAACTAAACTAGTCAGTAGCCCCTGCAGTTACCAAGTGCGAAAACTTGAACAAGCCACCAGTCTGAACTGGAACCGGGGTCGCAATCTTAACAGCTTCCTCCAGGGCCAGGAACCAACCAAGCTTTTTAGTTTTTACCTGCATTTCCTTGTTGAATTTCAGGGTTTTCGAGAATCATATACCCCAGCTGCTGAAATCCGATATCAAGGCTGATTTTGTTAGCACTTTGCTGCAGGATTTGGTAAGCTATCAATGGAAATACGTAGTTATGAAGTCCTTGATGCCTTGGCTTGCTTGTGCATCAGAAACCTACTACTTAACATTCCTTAATTACACTTCACTTAATGTATGTGTTTATGCCAGAATGAATTGATCCTTGCAACACCCCTGACTTTCGATCAATTTTTTTGCATATATTCATAGAATTGTTTTAGATTGATGTACTCTTTTGCAAATTATAGAGGGCTGCGTTGGACATGGCCAAGTCACTCGCATTCCCTCTTCCACTTTTGGCTGTTGCTCATAGACAGCTCATTCTTGGTAACATTACTGTCCAGTGAGCTTATTCCTGTAGTATTACGAACATGCTATCTTAATTTCAGTGGTGATATTTTTTTTCCCCAGCATCCTCACATTGTCTTCAAGTTGGGAATGATGTAGCCGCCCCATTGGTTGAGGTTAGTTTTCTCCTTTTTTATGTTTTCCGTCACTTGCGTAAAATTTGCTTCGTTTGATTAATCCAGAGGTATTTTCCAGGCTTGGGAGAAACTCTTGAGACTAAATATTCAAGATGCAGCTAATGCTAAACTGTACAGCCCTGAGCAGTTGGCTCTGCAAGTTGCCACCAAATCTGCTGCTGTGAAGCGTGTTGGCTTCATTGGCCTTGGAGCAATGGGTTTTGGGATGGCAACTCACCTGCTGAAGTCAAATTTCTGTGTCCTTGGATTCGATGTAAACTTCATTGTTTACTTCCGCTACCCTTTTGTTCTTGCTTCTGACCTTTCCAATAATGCTGTTTATTGGCTGTATTTGCTTAGCTGATATTTCCTTTGGAAACCTGGTTAAAGTACTATTTATCTCTGAAGCTTAGTGGTAATGTAACTGTTATTTGATGATCTCCATAGATCATTTTCAAGATACTTTTATTGGACTGCAGGTTTATAAGCCCACTCTAGCAAGATTTGTTGATGCTGGAGGTTTAATTGGCGCATCTCCTGCAGATGTATCTAAAGGTAATTTGTGTTACTCTCCTACTTCCATTACTGATATTTGCTATGCATATTGTTGAATGTTATGATTGTCTTTATGATTTCATGACTGCTTCTTTTGTTCTCCATTGGGCAGATGTTGATGTGCTTGTGGTCATGGTTGCAAATGAAGCTCAGGCTGATAGTGTTCTGTATGGAGAGTTTGGTGCTGTTAAAGGTACTCGCGGCTCCAGTTTCAGTAACCAACAATATTTGAAATTTGAGGGCTGACCATATCTGCATCCGTTTACCACACATGGAAAAATGAGATTCACGTGGGAGTAACTGCTTCATTTTATGATCTCTTCAATCTGCTCTGGTTGCAGTCCTTCCTGCGGGAGCAGCTGTCATCCTTTCTTCCACAGTATCTCCTGCTTTTGTAATCCAACTGGAACAGCGGTTGATAAGTATGTCTATTTCATGCATATCATTGCTTCATTTGTCTCTTTCTTTGCATCTATAACATGCAACTTTTGTAGATGAGGGCAAGAAATTGAAGTTTGTGGATGCTCCTGTTTCTGGTGGCGTTAAGAGAGCTGCTGATGGAACACTTACGGTCCGATTAAAATGCAATTGCTTAATTATTTAACAGCTAGCCAGCTATGGTGCTTTTACTTGCTCTGTTATGAATGATATTTTCATATGCTTATCAGATTATGGCTTCTGGTACCCCTGAAGCTCTTGAAAGTGCTGGTTCTGTTCTCTCAGGTAACTAGAATTGTGTATATTTTCCATGTCTATGTGAGTTTCATCTATTTGACTGTGTCTTAATCCTAAGTTTCTGGGTAAAAACAGCTATGAGTGAGAAGCTTTATGTCATTAAAGGTGGCTGTGGCGCTGGAAGGTAGATTGATATTGATTTTCCTTATCTTATGAATGTCAGATGTTCAAGGATTTTTTTTGTTTGTTTGTGGAATTTTTCATTCTATTGCTTTGAATTATCATTGTAGTGGCATAAAAATGGTTAATCAGTTGCTTGCTGGAGTTCATATAGCTTCAGCAGCTGAAGCAATGGCTTTTGGAGCTCGACTAGGACTGCATACAAGGAAACTATTTCAATCCATAGCAAATAGCGGAGCTACATCTTGGTTGGTAGCTAGCATCCTTGCTGCATAGTTAAGTGTATAACTTCGGAAGCTGATTGCTAACCTTTGGCTGCAATACTCATTTCGTTGCAGGATGTTTGAGAATAGGGTCCCACACATGTTGGACAATGATTATACCCCATATTCTGCACTTGACATTTTTGTGAAGGATTTGGTGTGTCCTCATATTCTTCCACCTTATTCCTATTCTAAAACTATTGCAATGAGTTCTAAGCTAGTTACTAATCAAATCTCTATAATATTTTCAGGGAATTGTTTGTAACGAATGTTCATCCAGAAATCTTCCACTTCATATTGCAACAGTCGCAAACCAGCTCTTCCTGGCAGGTTCAATAACTTTCTACTACCATCTGCCGTTCGTTTTGTCCTCCATTTTATACATACTTTTGTTCTTCCACAGGTTCTGCTGCTGGTTGGGGTCGGCAAGATGATGCTGGAGTTGTAAGGGTATGCAGAAGTCACGGCAAATGCACATTACATCCATTTTTTAGAATTTATCTAAATTAGGTTTCTTTTTAACGGTATGAATGTTGACAGGTTTATGAAACGCTCACAGGAGTTAAAGTTGAAGGAAAGCTTCCAATTCTTGAGAAAGATGTTGTGCTACAATCTCTTCCACCTGAATGGCCCTTGGATCCTATTGATGATATACATAGACTCAACCAGAGCAATCTGAAAACCTTGGTAGTTCTAGATGATGATCCGACTGGTACCCAAACTGTTCACGATATTGAAGTGTTAACTGAATGGTAAACTTCTTCTCTGTTTTGTTTTGCGTGTAAACAAAAGCTGATAATTTTCCGCTTAAACAAATAAAGATGCAACAAATATATTGCTTTCTTCATAGGAGCACCGAGGCACTTGTTGATCAGTTTAGGAAAAAGCCGTCCTGCTTTTTCATTTTAACCAACTCTAGAGCTTTGAGTTCTGACAAGGTAAATAGATCATTCAACTATCATGGTGCTCAAGTTCTTAAACCTGTTTTTTTCAAGCAGATGAACCAGTTTCTGAGCCATAAATTAAATGCTTACAGGCTAGCTCATTGGTAAAAGATGTGTGTACCAACCTAAGTATTGCAGCTAGAGGAGTTGAAAATGTTGACTATACGGTAGTCTTGAGAGGAGATTCAACTTTACGCGGTCATTTCCCAGAGGTAGTATTCTAGGCCTTGTAATAATTCAAATTTGCCAGATAGCTTTTCAACAATAATGGGCATAAGCTTACATGATAATCATTTTGTAGGAAGCAGATGCAGCTGTCTCAGTGATTGGCGAGGTTGATGCTTGGATCATCTGTCCATTTTTCCTTCAAGGAGGCCGCTATACTATCAATGATATACACTATGTTGCAGATTCTAATAGGTATTATCTCTTTGAATCCTGATTATCTTGTCTGTACTTTGATCAAACGTACATTTAACGTGCAAAAAACAATACTTCTAGGCTTGTTCCTGCTGGGGATACAGAGTTTGCTAAGGATGCTGCTTTTGGATATAAATCTTCAAACCTTTGTGAGGTTATCTTCTGAAATTCTCCTCTTATTGTTGCAAAGGGTTGGATCTTAACCTAACTTTTCAACTCTTTACAAAAACTCTTAGTGGGTTGAAGAAAAGACTAAGGGAAGAATTCCAGCCCGGGATGTCACCTCTGTATCTATCGAACTATTGAGGAAGGGTGGACCTGATGCTGTATGTGAACTTCTTTGTGGTCTGCCTAAGGTACAGTTTGGTCAACAGATTTTCCCTTCTTCAATGAGATTTCTGGAGTTGAAGTTTGGAAATTTGCTGAGTCTTGTGATGTTCTTATTCATTTCCTGTTCTTGGACTTGATAGGCGTCCACATGTATAGTTAATGCAGCAAGTGAAAGGGACGTGGCTGTGTTCTCATGTGGAATGATCCAGGTACATTGTTTTGTAGTCACGGAGTAATCCTATTCCTTTGATCTCTCTGGTTTACTCACAACTATATGTTTAACTGAGCAGGCAGAGTTGAAGGGCAAAACTTTTTTGTGCCGCACTGCTGCAAGTTTTGTTTCATCTTGTATTGGTATCATTCCGAAAGCTCCAATGCTTCCAAAAGATCTTGGAATTAACGAACAAATGGAAGGGGCACTCATTGTTGTAGGGTCGTATGTACCGAAGACAACAAAACAGGTTGAAGAACTTAAATTGCAATGTGGCCATATGTTAAAGTGCATTGAGGTGATCATAATGCAGAATGTCTCCTGTTGAGATTTGGTCTTACTGCTGTTCTCATTGGCTGTGATGGAGGACTGCTCTCATTTTTTCTGGTTTGATTTGGAAGGTATCTGTTGATAAATTAGCTCTAAAGTCTGCGGAAGAGAGAGAAGAGGAAATAAATAGAGCAGCTGAGATGGCAAACCATTTCCTGGGAGCTTCCAAGGACACTTTAATAATGACCAGTCGAGAACTTATAACAGGAAAAAGTCTGTAATCTCTCCTACTCATATTGCTCATATTGTGCTGAATGTAGACGCACTTGGCTGATGATTTTCATAATTTTCCATGTTGAGCAGCTCCTTCTGAGAGTTTGGAAATCAATTTCAGAGTGAGTTCTGCTTTAGTGGAAATAGTGAAGCAGATATCTGTGAGTCCTCGATACATTCTTGCAAAGGTATGTCAACAGCCTTTATCGAACGCCTCAAGCATCTTGTCATGTTCCAATGTGTTTTTGTCTAAAAACTTCGGTCACCATCTACTGGTGTGCCTTCTTCAAGGGTGGAATCACCTCATCAGATCTTGCTACAAAGGCTCTAGGAGCAAAGCGTGCCAAAATAGTTGGACAAGCCTTGGCTGGTGTTCCCTTGTGGCAGCTTGGTCCAGAAAGTAGACATCCTGGTGTTCCATACATTGTTTTTCCTGGTAAATACAAACTTTAGTTTTTATCTAGTTTTTTATTAACATTCTAAGAAGTTGAATCCAAACACAAGAACTTCACCTTATCAGGTAATGTTGGCGATAGTAAAGCAGTTGCAGATGTGGTGAAATCTTGGGCTCTTCCAGCTGCCAAAATCTCGTCGACAAAAGAGATCCTACTTGTAAGGATAATGTTGCCAGTGTTAGTTGTTGTAAGTTTATGCTTTAAGATGTTTGACAGTTGGAGTATTCTGGATCAAAAGAATGCAGAGGAAGGTGGATACGCCGTTGGGGCGTTCAATGTGTACAATATGGAAGGAGCTCAGGCCGTTGTTGCTGCAGCAGAGGAGGAAAATAGTCCTGCTATCTTACAGATTCATCCCAGTGCGTTGAAACAAGGAGGGAAGCCACTAGTGGCTTGTTGCATTGCTGCTGCTAAAAACGCTAAGGTAGCATCATCTCACTTTTGAAAAGAATAGTTCGGTCTTTTGTTTGTTGACTGAAGATTCATGTTGTAATGCCAGGTTCCTATCACTGTTCACTTTGATCATGGAACTTTGAAGCAAGAGTTGATGGAAGCATTGGATACGGTGAGTTTGAGAATACATGGTTTCTAAGGATTTGTAGTTTCTCTTGTCTGAATATAGTAATCATGTACTTCAGGCTCCCTATATTTTCAGAATATGTGATATGATGCATTCTGGAAATCTTTGAATGGGTGCGACACCACTATAATTTCCTCAAACCAAACATTTGCATTACGGACATTCCTATAATCTCATCTAGGTGACAAGATCCATAATTTCTTAAAAGTGCATGTATTCCATTATACATGACAGTAATGGTAAACCCATGCAATTTCCAGGGATTTGATTCAGTGATGGTAGACGGTTCACATCTATCCTTCAAAGATAACATTTCGTACACGAAGTACATATCAGTGCTGGCTCACTCCAAGAACAAGGACATCCTGGTGGAGGCTGAACTCGGAAGGTTATCTGGTACAGAAGACGACTTGACCGTGGAAGACTATGAAGCAAGATTCACTGATGTAAATCAGGTTGGTAAACGAATCCTCAATTTAGCAGATATGGGGGTATTTGGAATTTGTTGAGCCGAACTAGAACCATCACATTCTCAGGCAGAAGAGTTCATGGAGGAGACAGGAATAGATGCACTGGCCGTCTGCATTGGAAATGTGCATGGGAAGTACCCTCCAACCGGACCAAATCTCAAACTTGACTTGCTCAAGGTTAGTGATTCTTGGGAATCACTTGCCTTTTTGTTTTCATTTCCTGAGCAATATTTTGTTTATCCATGACTGCTGAATGGGGTCGATTTTCCTTCAGGATTTGCATGCCTTGAGCTCGAAGAAAGGTGTGTTCCTTGTGCTGCACGGAGCTTCTGGATTGTCCCCGCAGCTCATCAAGGTAATACTACTCTGATTTTTCCATGTCGCCATCATCAGCATCATGAGAGCTCGTCTTGTCTGAACAGTTTTATTCCGTTTCCTGTTTTCTATTGGTAAACAACCACGAACCAGGCTTGTATAGAACGGGGTGTAAGGAAGTTCAACGTTAATACGGAGGTGCGGAAAGCTTACATGGACTCCCTGAGCAGCCCGAGGAAAGATCTAGTTCACGTCATGGCCGCTTCAGTGGATGCCATGAAAGTGGTGGTTGCAGAGAAGATGCGCCTGTTTGGCTCTACCGGGAAAGCCCATCCATGAACCATGAATGATGCTTTTTTCTCCTTACCAATTGTTGCCCTGGTTTCTTTCCCTCGTTGTTCATGTTGTTGTAACTTGTATATTTTTCTTGTGATGATGATATCAGCAGTGATAGTTAATACACGGAATCTGATATCAGATATTCCAATTGGTCGCCAGTTTTGAATTACCTACGCATGATGATCCTTTCCCATAAATAAAACCACAAAGAGGAAGAAGCTACTTATTTCTCTAATGTATATACTCCATACTGTACTGTAATAACATATCTATTTGACTGTCGTTCATACTGTCATGTTAGCATTTTTATCGATCACTTTGGCTAATAATTTGAAGTCGTCCATGTTTTTGGTGGAATTTGTGATCAAAGCACTATGATTGGACAAAACAAAACGATATTACTCTGTTCATATATTTTCTACTTACTTTTACCTTTGTTCCTATCAAGATTCCTTTGAGAGCTATGCAACTACAGTCTACAAACTTTGGTGGGTAATATTGTTGTGGTTTGATTTGTCTATCTTTTTTTCATAAACTTGTTTCAAGTTTTGTTGTGCACAATTCTCCAATTGCTCTCTTTCTCTTCCCGAAAACAACCACGAAGTTCACTTCAAGCATCCGCTGTGAGTCGGTTATTACTTTCGGTAACAAACCCTGACACGTCACCATGCCATTCAACAAACATCCACTACGTACCATGGATGGTTGATTGGATAGTACCACACATCTAACAACATGGATGATATCCATATTGAACCGCAACATAACTCTTGGTAACCATACTAATGGATGATCACCATAACATAACATGAATGATACCATCATTTAGTACTTGGGATGATATTCATGATACGGAATGACATCATTTATTTACGATTGCATGGTATCGATGATGTTGGATGACACCATCGATATAGAGTTTGAATGATGTTCATGGTGATGAAAGAATGGTAGTATGGACGACCAACTTTTTTCATAAGGGTGACACTGATTAATTATTCTTATTATATGTTCTACTTAAAGGGTTCAACCATGGGACCTCCAGTCTCGGATCAAGCAGATTACTCTACCAGATAATCCGAACAATCCAACATACATATGGGTTGGCTACTTAAAGCAGATCAATTGTGCAAATAACTCATGTGATAATTAATGAAATTTATTTTGGTGTAAACAAATGCTCCACAACTTACGGGTGTTTTGGTTTTGGTGATAGTTATATTTAGGGTTTAATATTTCTATATGGTCCCCAACTTTTCCCTTCTTTAACATCCTGCCCAGTCACTAATTAATATCGTGGTCAAAACTATCATCAATAATTACTCATTTGCCCAAAACCGAGTGTTGACCATCTATAGCACCGCTTAGGCGCGATAAATTGGAGCTAGGTGGTCTGGCGACTAAAGATAAAAATAAATAATTGTTTTAAAATATCCCAAAGCAACGCCATCGTTATGTTCAATTAGTTCCACGCAACGAGCCGTGACCCGTCCTACACTTGCCTCATTCCTCGATTGAAATAAAAAAATTGGTCAACAGAGATCTCTGAATTGCAACGACTTTTTCCCTGCCCCGAAATTCGACGTCTGCTGCTAGAGTGCTTCTCTTCTCCAACTTTGGTTGACTAGATTCTCCATCCTATTATTCACAACCGTCGACCGCTAAATAATCAAAATAATGTCGCCATATGTACTGCTTCAGTACCTCTCATGTTTGTATCTAATTTTGGTTGTCCCAGCCTTCATCCATACTCTTTACTATCCCAATATGTAAAATTGTTATGATCGCTTAATACTCCTAGGCGCTAGGCAGGATCCCAATGCCTATATAGGGCATTCTTGAACCTTGGTATTTCCAAAATTTGTCAATTATGATCACAAAGTGAAAAATTATGCAGTGTATTTTGTCTAAATCAAATAATTCATGCAATTTCTTTTAGCTAACAAACGATTTTAATAGATACTAACAGAACGTCATAATCAAGAATTCATTTCATTGTAAAATGAATTACCGTGTAGAATTCATTGTCAAATGAAATCCTATATTTGGTATGTTATATTCAAAATTTTAGAAATAAAATGAAGTGTCGTGTAGAATTCATTGTCAAATGAATTCTTGTGTTTGGTATGTCATATATATAAGTAATTTACTAAATAAAAGAAGGTAACTATGTAATTCTATTATAATTAGTAAATACTTGTGGAATTCATTTGGAAATTCTATCTCAATTTCTCTGAATTGCTATAACTAGTTCCAATTCCATAGAATTCAAAATTTAGAATTGAAAATAATTCTATTAAATACCAAACAAAAAAGAATTCATTTCAAAATAAATTCCACAAAACTTATGAAATTCATTTATAAAAACGGTACGTAAATAACTTACATAACTAAGGCAAACCCCATGTTGAAATTTGAAAAAGTGTGGCCTTGATTCTTGAACAAGCGGCAAAGGGAAAGAAGCTTGACCCAGGCAGTCCAGAGAACATGGACACAGCCCATTCGCTAATAGCCCAAAATCCCAAGCCTTAACCGCCAGCCCAACCCAAATCCTGGCACCCAGACTGCCAGGCTGGCGCGGTCCCTCCCCTCTCACTCGCTCCTCAACAAAACAAAGGGAGAAAGAAAAAAAAAAAACACCCCAAAATGCACAAAAATTTGTACAATCTACAAACCCTAAAAAACAAATTAATAACTGACTTCCAGACTCCAGTTGCAGGCCTGCAAAATCTGTTGCATCATCTGAATCTAGAGATCAAGAAGCAATCCTCCTTCTTCCCAGTTTACCGTCATCACCATGAAGTCTTCCAACATCTGAATCTGAGTCTCAATGGCGCACTGCTGTTTTCCTCCTTCCTCTTCCGCCTCCTCTGTTTTTACCGCACTCCGTTTCTCTCTCTTCTTCCCCGGTGGCTGACCGGCCATCTGTCTCTTTTCTTCCCATATTCCCAGCCAGCAGTTTCTGCGTCGTGTTATAGTGCCGGCTCGGCGGAGTCGGAGTGTAGAGAGTTCCACATAACACCGCCAAACCACACACTAGCAATCGCATTCCATCCCCGGCTTCCCCAATGGGAAGTTATGAGTTCGGTTCACTTGACGCTGGAGGAGGACTCGTCTGGGTTCGTCGGAGGAACGGCTCCTGGTGGCCGGGCAAGATACTTTGTCCTGACGAGCTTGCAGAGCGTAATCTCACGTCTCCTCGGACCGGCACACCTGTCAAGCTCCTCGGAAGAGACGACGCTAGCGTGTGAGTTATTCCTGGTTTCCTTTCATCTCTTTTCTTTCTTTTTTCCTGGTACTGGCCCGATCCCCTGTTGTTTGTTGTTTCATTCCTAATTGTTGATTCAATCTCCGCAAGTTATTGGCCGCTGGTGTTACTAGTTGCAAGCCTTGTAAATCTTACCCAAATAAGAAGAAATATGCATCCCATTTTTAATGTCCAAAAGCTTCTAAGTTTCTTGGTCCACTTTCGTGCAATGCGCTTGTGTTTGTGGGTTTTCCTGCCATGGAGTGTTAGTATGTCAAATGCTCCTACCCTGCTTTTTGTGAAATAACGTTCTCTGATTACATTGTAATATGAATGTTGGAGTTGAAGTGGAACTTGAAGTAAAAAAACGAATTTGTTCAAGCAGCTGCAATTACCAATCTCATCTATCAAAATGGTTGGGCATCATGCATACCGTGATGTCCAACGATTATTCGGAACAGTCATGGGTATGGATGCATATTCTACTAGTTTTACATATGCAGATGCTATTTTGAACTATTGGTTGGCCCTGCACCCACAAAGATATGCTCATCTTGCATTGGATGAGCACCTTTTGCTTATTCTGACTACTTCTTTTTCACATTATTGCAGGGATTGGTATAACCTAGAAAAGTCTAAGCGTGTCAAGGCATTCAGATGTGGGGACTTTGATGAATGCATTGAAAAGGCTGAATCTTCTCACGTGGTCCCGATTAAGAAAAGGGAGAAGTATGCTCGTCGGGAAGATGCTATTCTTCATGCACTTGAGCTTGAGAAGCAGCTCCTGAAGAAACAAGAAAAATTAGGCATGGCTTTTGATCATTCTAGAAGGAGATCATTTGTATCTATAAAGAAAGAGCTTGGCATTCTTTATGATGATATGGGGAATGATTGTGGAAACCCTGATCTATACCAGTTTCGTAATAGAGTAGATGCTGATAGCAAAGATGAGGCAGTTAGCAGTCCCATGCATTTGTTGCAAATGAGTGAAGGAAACAAAACATCCTTGGCAGATGATCATTCTGATGAAATGCCGCGGATGAGAGACTTGCGTGATGTTGGGCTTAGTACTGCCCATTTGAAGCGGAAGCTGTCTTCTTTTGACTTTGATCATAGGAGTCCAGAAAACCAAGTCCATGCAAACAGTGCCCTCGTCACGGATAATGGTGAGCGTCACTGCACTATGGGGGAAGTTTGACTTAACAAAATTTGGCCAAGAGGCATAGTAAAATGTCTTTGGCCAAGTATTGCTCACTAATGCACTCATAGCAACCTGATTTGACAATGTTTCTGCTTTGTTTCAGGAGTTGAGCAGACAGGAACTCTTTCTTATGCAAAGAGAAGTAAACTGGTTTACCTCCCAGCTGAATGTGGAGAGTTGATGGATGATAAAGGCCTTCCTTCAGGTCAGGTTAAGATGTGCCCCATTAATGTCTCCCCTTCACGGTTTGATGAGAATGACGGCTATCCTCAACAAGGTTCGCTGAATGAGGGAAACTCTTCATCTGACTTTATGGAGGATGTTGGGCATAATTCTTCTGAATCTGATTCTTCCGAGTCTGATTTCTCTGCTACCGAACCGGAAATGAATGATGAAGTGGCCGTCTTTTCAGGTTGTTTATCTTTCCTATCTTCATGCTTGCTTTGTCATTTCTTGATTGATGGCACATTGATGCTTGAGAGATTTCAGTGCACATTCTTTCATGCTGGGAAAGAAACACATGCTTTCCGATGTTTGATTTAGGAAACTACTTTTGCATATACATGAGATACACTTTGATGAGGGTTTAGGAGCATATCCACTTCACCCCCTATAGGCTTAGTATTTTGCAAAAGTATATCGCCCTAATTAACAGCTTATGATGACTCTTGATCCACCATGATCATTACTGTCGGTGTTGTAGTTTTGGAGTTGGTGAAGATCCCATATTTGTTTTATGGATGAAGATTTCATTATATCAAATGGTGCCAGGCATGGCCAGTTTATGAGGATTGAATGGGGCTGAAGAAGTTGCTTTAACAAGTTCGACAGGTTGCTGTTTGTTGCTCTGTGTAAGGGTTATAGATATTGTGGTCTTGACTGATGTTTCAGTTATGTAAGATGGATGTTATCTTCTAGCTATGAGTCTATGACATGTTATCCAGTTATTAGGAAGTGTTTCCTTTCTTTTATTATTTGGCATTATGTTCCTTTCTATTGTGTTCAGAGTGATTTAGTTTGTTTGTAGATTGAATATCTAATCGTTGTAGACTTTATCATTTCAGAGATGTGAGTTGAAAGTTGTGTTCTCTAACTAGATAATATGCTTGGATATTTCAGATGGCACCATAGAAACTCAACTTGATGGCTTGGCTGGACACGGAGAGGATGGAACTACAAGCAGCGAGGAGACAGATGACTCTGCATTTTCTGGTAGCATGCCTCCTCACTATCTTGAGGATCATCCTTACCTTGCTAGTAATGAAACAGTGTCCAAATGGCAATTGAAAGGGAAAAGGAACACACGTCATCTTACAAGAACTCTGGACATAGGCAATGGAAAGTTCTCACACCCTTACAGAACAGAAGGAAGCACCTTGGGTTCATATGGTGTTCATGATGAGGACGACGACGATGACGATGATGATGAATATGGGACAAGATATTTCGGGTCCCGCAAGGGTCGGCTGGATGATGATGGTTTTCCTTATGGTTTACAGTATGCGCAGAGAAGTCATCGTCCAAATACTATTGGTCAAAAATTGATTAGTTGGGAAGACATCACCTGGGAGGAGAGTCCTGCTTTCAGGACCTTTTGGAAGGCCGGCAGGGGAGATCATTTTAGTCCTTTTGGTGGTAGAGGGAGGTCAATGTTAATAGATGTCGATTTGAAGGTGAAAGCGAGCTATCAGAAAGAAGCAGCTGTTCCTATTGTGTCTCTCAGGAGTAAAGTAGATGGAAGGGCAATAATAGGGCACCCAATTCAAGTCGAGCCCCTGGAGCATGGCTCAACTGATGCTCTTCTGGTTTCCACAAGTGATCACTGTAGCAGTGAGACAACAGTTGAACACCATGATAGGAAGGGGGTTGCAGCTTCAGTACTTCAACAACCATCATGGAGAACTGCAAGGAGGACCAACAATTTCAGGGTTCCACGGCCTGTCAGTGGTCAGGTTCCCCGGGTCGGTGGTTCGGGTCGTAGAGGGTTGTCTGGAGGTGGTGGAGTCCGGAAGGGCAGCAGTGGTCAGGTTCCTTGGCCGATGAGGAAAGTGGGGAAGAAGAAAGCGGGTGGTATGTTGTCATCCAGTCAGAAGACAAGGATGCTCTCTTCCATAGGGTTCCAACAGCGGAAGGGCGGTAGTAGTAGCAGCAGTGGTGGCGGCAGCAGCAACAGCAGTGAAATGGGAGGAGGGGTTATAAAAGGGGAGAGTTCTGGGCTCACCATGGTGGCTTGCATACCTGTGAAGTTAGTGTTCAGTAGGTTGCTGGAGAAGATAAACAGACCACCTTCATTTGGAGTCAAGTAGTCATGATCTAGCGTGGATACAGATGATAGACAAGCACAGCAGCAGCAGCATTAGGAGCATGTACAATTTTCTTCTTTTCAGCTCCCTTGTTTCTTCATTTCTTTGTTCTTTGACTGAGAAACCAAGGAAAAAAGAAGATAGATGGATATATAAAATATAGATAGATAGACACACTGATATAGTAGATTAGGATGTACGAAATGCAGCAATTGTTGCTTGCTAATGGTAGGGGGAAGTTTGCTTCCTTATTCTTGTCAATGTTAATTGTTTATGACTTTCGACACGGAACGGAATGGTGATAGGCAGTAAAGAGTACTGGTGAATTGAATTGTGATGGAAATAGAAGGTAGAGTAAGCACAGGTGCAGGGGAAGGAATATGTCTAGGGTGACATGAATGTACATTAGACTTGTTTTTTGGCAGAAAGTGGAAGGAAGAAGCAATAGGAACTTAATAGGAAACCTCATTCTTTTGTTTGCAGTTTGCTTGAATTTGTTTGCCCTTCTTTCATTATTTTGTTTTCAGATTTGAATCTGATATTGCTGGTCAGTTAAGACTTTTCAAGAGTCGGCTTCTCACTTGACTAGTAGCAATGCACAGAGTTGGCTTGAAAGAATCCAGGTGACTTGATCATGCATTCTTGGAATACTGACTGAAACATGGCTAGCAGTGATGCAAGTTTTAAGCAAATACCGTAAGGATAAGAGTCTTGAGAAGATGCAAGTAAAAGCAACTTAAGCAGAATCTTTCCCTGTGCTCAGACAACACAAAATGTATCCGTCGTCCTTGTATAAACTAAAGAGCGCTAGTGCATCATCCTTGTTTACAATATCACCGAGGCAGGACCCCAATTGTAGCCGTTTTACTATTTCAGCGAACGCATCAATGTAGTCGAAATTGGGTTTTACTTGAGCCGTTTTACTTGAGCATAAACCGTCCGCCTCCCATGGCCCTCTCGGCGGCGGCATCTCCTCGCCGGCAAAAGCTTAACAACTTTAATAAGTGGGAAATTCCGGACTTCCTTTTCACCTCCTCTATCTCTCGCCCGCCGCCACTTCAGTGCGAATCTCTCCGTCTTTCCGATCGGTCAATTATTTCCATCCGCTTCCCATATCAATCAATTCGTAAAATGTTCTACCGAAAAAAAAGAAGAAAAGAAAATTCGATAATGTAAAACGCAGTCGTACACACTCATACATACATCCGGGGGAAACATCAGAATTTTCGTCTCCACCGGCTCCACTTCAGTGCACCAAATTGACGTCCCTTCTCTCGCACCCTCGATCTCCCCGCCCGGTAAGCGCTTCTACGTCTCTCGATCGTCTCGCTCTTCCATGCATGCTCCTCATTTACGTTTCTCTTGGTTCCCTGATAGCCTCCATCAATCGTTCTCATTAGAAACTTCACTATTTAGGGTTTTGATTTTTGCGCACTTTGATTTATCGGTATAAACTGGTCTCTTCGAAACTTCGAATATCAAATCCATCTTCTGATTGATTGAATTTTTCTTTCCTTTTTCTTTTTCCCCATAGTTCAGGAAACCCTGGAGCGTAGTGTTAGATCTCTCCGATCCAATGGATTACTCCGGATTGCCGGCGGACATACTAGAAAAGCTAGTAACCCAGCACTTGAACGCCATCTCTCACTTGCTCTCCTTCTCCGGAGTGTGCAAATCATGGAGATCCGCCGCTCTCCCACACTGCCACCGCCGCCGGCTCCGATCCATGCAGCTTCCTGGCCTCCTCTTCTCGCAAGCCGCCGCCATCCTGCCGGAATCCCCCGCGCCCTCACGCTACTGCGGGCCACCACACGACTTCCTTCCCCTCATCATCACCGCCACCATGCAGCCAGCTCCATCGCCAACTCCAACAAGCACCAAGAGCAAAAGAAGGAGAAAGCGGCTGCCGCGGGTGATGCTCCCTCACTTCCCATCCCTATCCCAAGTATCCCACCTCCAACGCGAATCGGAGCGCCACAAAAAGATGGACCTCGACTTCGACGACATCCCTTACCTCGGCTCCACCGTCCAATCTGAGCTCTACGTCGCCTCCAAAGACGGGTGGATCCTCATCGTCCACCCACGCCGCTGCCACGGTGTCACCTTCTACCTCCTCAATCCGATCACCAAGTCCTCCATCCCTCTCCCACCTCTCCCTTTCCCCTCCCACCGCTCCTACATCCTCAAAGCACTCATCACCTCTCCCCCCGACGACGACGATAGCTGCCACGTCATCGTTCTCTTCAGCTCCACGCCCCAGCTGGCCTGGTGCAACGTGCACCAGGCCGCGGCTGCAGCTGATGATGCAACCAAGGATGATGACACCAAGATGGAAGGAAGGAGATCCTCAGCAGGAAGCTGGAGATTCACGAGCCACGATTCTCGAATCTTCGATTCTCGAATCTTCGACGACTATCGGTACTCGTGGTGGGTTGACATGGACTACTTGGGAGGGAAGCTGTACGTGTTTCTGGACGGAGAGTATGTGTCCGTGGTGGACGGCCTGGTTAGCTGTAAACTTTCCGTGAGAGTGTTCCCGTTCTCTCAGGCCATGTCGTACCGGTCGAGCTGGCGCGACAGAGATGCTTTTAGCGACTACCAGACCTCGTACCACTTGGCTAACCTCCGCGGTGAACCCCTCGTTATCCTGAGCCATAGTTATGCCTGGTACAATCCCACTGGCCCAACCTCGGAGCTCGAATTCGAGGTGTACAAGCTTGTACTGAGAGGAGGAGACGATTACAAGGAGGGTTATTCTTGGGAAGAAGTGACTGACTTGGATGGCCACGCTGTGTTTTTGGGGTCTCACCAGTCGTTCTGCCTTGCTGCGGATCCACTCAACAATGGGGTTAGAGGAAACCGCATCTACTTCGTGTTCGATTCCTTGGGTTGCAGGTACTATTGCTCCGACAAATATGGCAATGACTGTGGCATGTTCGATCTTGTGAACAAAAGGGTTGAGAGGTTTTGTCATCGTGATCCTAATGACAAGATGATTGTGGAGAGGAAGGCACGTACCTTTTGGTTCCTCCCGATGCCATGGTAATTAAGCATATAATTTTTTGATTAATTTACTAATTAATCAAGCTATATATGCCATCAATTTGGTTGATAACAATTGTTTGTCTGCTGGTTGTTTTTCTTGTCTGCGGTGCATGGTGACGTAGGGATATCCAGAAGCACAGAAAGGATCAAGAAAGGATGTTGGAGCAGGCAAAACCTAAGCCGGCCGTGGACGTCGCCAAGGTAACGAAGAGGAAGACCAATAATAACAAAAAACATCATCAGCAAAAGGATGGTAATAAGATCACTCGTCTAGCGAACAGATTCCAGGCTTTATTAACCGCAGACGACGAAGATCATGAAGATGAAGAAGACAAAGAATAATGATCAGCGTGACCATGAGCACTACTTTTGCCTACCCTCACTACTCCAGCTATCATCATCTTGCCTAATCTGCAGCAGAGCCGCTTGTGGCAAAGTATTGTTCCTGCCAAGAAGAGCTGGGTTGCCACAGTGGCAAATCCGTAGTGGAAGGTTTCGTATCAGGACCAACATTCAATTACAAATACTTCTCTGAAGATATTATTGAGCTTTCTTTTTGTTAGTAGCTAGCTAGCAAAAAACTCATTTAAATAATAGTTGCAGGTAGCCAACATAATCATTCTCCAATATAAAGGAGGGGTTCTTGCGCTACAAGACTGACTCCAATTCGGTCTGTATTTATGGCGATAATCGCTATCTGATTCCCCATCTGTGGCAATGAGATGCCGATTCCCTGGGTTTTTTGTGACTGGGCTACCACCCCTTTTTTAGGAGTTAGGGTTTTAATTAGGGCATTAATAGCTGTTTTAATTAATGTTTTGTTTAATTTCATTTTTTCTACTCTTCTTGTATCGATTTCTTAAAAATGATATAAACTAAAATTATATCCGTTTTTGGAAAAAAAATTCGGTTTTGAAATTTCAAAGATTCTATAGTTAAATTTGTATTTAAAAAATGATGACGAACTATATAAAAATTAACATGAACAAATAAATTAGTTTAAGATGATTCTAAGTACATTTTTAAGTAAAGAATTTTTTTTTAAAAAAAAGGGAGGTCCCCAAATTTAGAGATGATAGCATTAAAGTAAAAATGATGAAAATGAGAATAATCCCCAAATTTAGATATGAAGGTCCCCAAATTTGGCGTAGTATTAGAGTTGGTCTAATAAAAATCTAATTGTACGTGACAAAAAGCGCTTCGGATTAAAATTAAGTTTTTATAAACATGTTCATATAGTGGAGCAATGCAGAGATGGGTGATTTTTCAAGAAGTCAATATGATGCAGCCAATAGCAAAATTGTACAGGGTTGGGTCCAAAGCGGACACTACATTGGTAAGAAAAGAGTTGAATGATGCAAGTTGTATCTGCGTCCCTCTTGAACAATAATAGAACAAACCCCAACAATGATGTTGAGTCCCAAAAGGGCATGTAATGTAACACGTTAGTCAAATCCACGGAGAGATTCATGAGCTAAAAGGAATAATCCATCCTTAACTGACAAACTGCTATATGCGGTGGAATTGATGAGCTTTTGTAAGAGCACTGAAGTTAAACGTGTTAAGGGTGAAGCAGTGCAGAGATGAGTTGTCTCTTGGGATGTCACCATGATGCATTTATGCGGCTTTGTGTCCAAAGCGGACAATATCTTGGTCAGAAAAAGGGTTGCGATGTTACACGAGGTATCAAACCTCTATGCATCCCTTTTGAATGATGGTGAGCCAAAAATCAACGAGGATGTTGAGCCCCAATGGGGGTGTAATGTAACACGTTAGACAAATCCCACATCGACAAAGTATAAGAGAGATTCAAACTCTATAAGGAACAATTCAATCATAACTGACAAGACGAGTTTTGCGGTGAAATAGAGGATCTCTTGTAAGATCTTTGAAGTTAGATGTGCTCATGGTATAGCACGACAAATATGGGTGACCTCTTAAAAAGTCGGCATGCATATGGTGCACCCAAAAGGAAAATAGGTCCAGGATTGAACTCAGAGCGCACAATATCTTGACCATAAAAATGGCTAGGATGTTACATTTAACATTGGACGATATGACAAAGATTAGAATAGGATGGGTTAGTTCAGTACCCTTACGACCAAGGTCGAGTCTAGGTAATGTATTAGGATTTTTGGTTGGGTTATCAGTTCAATTGGGTTTGCTTATTGATTTTTTTATTAATATTTTAAATAACGTGGCATGCTGACTGGATGGAAGTAACGGTTTTTTGGATGGAGATAGATGAAATTACCTTTTCGTTATTAGTCCAAACATTTGTTACCAAAACGTACAAAATTAAAAATTTGTGAACATTTTGTACAAAGTGAATAGTTTTGTCACCATTTATAATAATTAGCCATCCCCTCCAGTAAATATAAAACGCAGACGTAAACTCATAACTAAATCCCGGAAAAAAATTCAGTAGGGTTTCGTCCCCCTCCAATCCCCTCCAATTCCAGTGCACCGTATTCATCACGTCCCTTCTGTCTTCTTTTCAATAGCTCTCGCGAGCTCGTTCTCCCCAGCCGGCCGTAAGCGTTTCTACTTCTCTCGTCGTGTCTCCTCCATGCATGCTCATCAGTTACGATTCTCTTTCTGCACTAACAACCTCCATGAATCATTCTCACTAGAAACTTAATTATTTACTATTTAGGGTTTGATTTCTTACGCCCTTTAATTTGTGTTAGGATATCGAATCCATCGTCTGATTGGTTGATTTTTTTTTTGTCATTTTGTTTCCCCGGAACTCAGCAAAACCCTAGCTAGCGGCTAATATATGTATCTAAACTCTTATACTATGTTGTTGCATCTGTTAGAAGAACTCTCCGATCCAATGGATTATTCCGGATTGCCGGTGGACATACTAGACAAGATAGTAACCCATCACTTGAACACAATCTCTCACTTGCTCTCCTTCTCCGGAGTATGCAAATCATGGAGATCCGCCTCTCTCCCACACTGCCACCGCCGGCTCCAATCCATGCAGCTTCCCGGCCTCCTCATCTCGCAAGCCGCCGCCATCCCGCCGGAATCCCCCGCGCCCTCTCGCTACTGCGGGCCGCCACACGACTTCCTTCCCCTCATCACCACCACCACCATGCAGCCAATAACTCCATCGCCAACTCCAAGAAGCACCAAGAGCACGAGGAGAAAGCGGCTCCCGCGAGTGATGCTCCCTCACTTCCCATCCCTATCCGATGTATCCCACATCCTACGCGAATCGGAGCGCCACAAAAAGATGTACATCGACTTCGACGACCGCCCTTACCTCGGCTCCACCGTGCAGTCCAAACTCTACGTGGCCTCCAAAGACGGGTGGATCCTCATCATCCACCCACGCCGCCACGGCGTCACCTTGTACCTCTTGAACCCGATCACCAATTCCTCCATCCCTCTCCCTCCTCTCCCTTTCCCCGCCAATCCCAAGGACATCCTCAAAGCACTCATCTCCTCTTCCCCTGACTCGGACGAGGATCCTTGCTGCCACGTCATCATTCTCTTCCGCTCCACGCCCCAACTGGCCTGGTGCAACGTGCAGGAGGTGGCTGCTGCTGCTGCTGTTGCTGCAACCAAGGATGGGAGGAGGGCAGGAGGTTGGAAATTCACGAGCCGGGATCATCGAATTGTCAACACTATTCAGCCGTGGTGGGTTGACATGGACTACTTCGGAGGGAAGCTGTACGTGGTGGCGGACGGAGAGCACGTGTCTGTCGTCGAGGGACTGGTTACCTGTAAAATTTCTGTGAGAGTGTTCCCGCTCTCTCCGGCCATGTCGTACATGTCGAGCTGGCGGGCCAGAGCTCGCGAAGACGACTACAAGACCTCTTACCACTTGGCCAACCTCCGAGGTCAGCTCCTCGTTATCCTGAGCCACAGTTATGAGTGGTACAGGGGCGCCAAGCTCAAATTCGAGGTGTACAAGCTTGTGTCGATGAAAGGAGGCGACAAGATTGGTAGTAGTAGTAGTTATTTCTGGGAAGAAGTGACGGACTTGGATGGACACGCCGTGTTTTTGGGGTCTCACCAGTCTTTCTGCCTTGCTGCGGATCCACTCAACAATGGGGTTAAAGGAAACCGCATCTACTTCGTTTTTGAGGACTATCACTCCGATGAACACGGCAATGATTGTGGCATGTTCGATCTTGAGAACCAAAGGGTTGAGAGGTTTTGTCATCATGATCCTGATGACAAGATGATTGTGGAGAGGAAGGCGCGAAGTTTTTGGTTTCTCCTGATGCCCTGGTAATTTAAGCATTTAATTTAATTTTGATTGATTTACTAATCAAGCTAACGTCGGTTTGATGGATCCTAATTGTTTGTCTGCTGGTTTGATTTCCTTGTCTGCGGTGCATGGATGCATTATGTAACGTAGGGATATCCAAAAGCACAGAAAGGATCAAGAAAGGATGCTGGAGCAGGCAAAACCTAGGCCGGCCGTGGACGTCGCCAAGGTATCGAGGAGGAAGAGCAATAATAACAAAAAGCATCAGCAGCAACAACATGATGGTAATAAGGTCTCTCGTCTGGCAAACAGATTCCAAGCTTTATTAGATGAAGACGAAGATGAAGATGAAGGATGAGCATGGGCATGATGTGGAAGAATTGCCATGAGTACTTTTGCCTACCGTCAGTACTCTACTCCAGCTATCATCATCTTGTCTAATCTGCAGCAGGGCCTGGTGAAGAACAAAAACATTGGATCAGTTGGAGGAAAGAACTGGGTTGCCACAGTGACAATTCCGTAGTGGAAGGTTTCGACCTTTTTGCAGTATCTTTTGGAAGCTGTATTGCCCTTTGATATGTTGCAGACAGAAGAAAACGGTCCATATTTCTTGAAAGCTTGAAAAATACAAATGAGGTTCCCAGGAACAAAAGTGGTTGTGGATGCAGCTGGAATTGCTTTAGCATCTCTTGTCACTTGTCAGTAGGGATGCAAATGAGCCGAATCAAATCGAGTTTTGCTTAATTTGAGTTCGACTTGTTTCATAACGAGCCGAACTAGATTGAGTTTTGCCTAAATTTGAGCTTGACTCATTGAGAAACGAGCTGAGCTCGATCTTGGCTCATTAAAGAGCTTATGAGCTCTACTCGAGTTCGGCTCATCAATCAGCTCATTTATCAGTCTAAACTAGTCACATGCCCGGTCGGTTGCCGGATTCATTTATAAATCATATCAGACTGTGGTCGAATGAATTTTTGAAACTCTGAACTCTCCCGTTGATTTGTCCCGATCATAAAATTGGAGATACCACGTAAAAGATCGTGTCTCGGTCTCAATAATAGGTTATTTTTCTCATGGTATCATAACAACAGGTCAAGCAGTAACGTTGTCTTCCCGCGGTCTTGGTGAAACCGGCACCCCATCAGGTTTAATTCCCTTTGAGTATAGATAACCAAGAACATCACCTTCACCGATGGCCAAATTGAAGGCTAGTTCCTCCACTTCCATGCCTTTTTCCCCTACCTCCAAAATCTCTTCTTTCATTGGAGCAACATCTTTGGCCCAGAGGCGGATCCAGGACATAGTAGCGCACTGAGCCTCATTTGAATAAAAAATTAGATACCATAAACAAAAAAAATGATGACTGTAGTTTTCATTACAATGTCAATTGTACATGACGATCTTTTAATTTAACGAATTCATCGAATCATGGAGTCTTTATTCATACCAATAGCATAACAAATAGTTAAGCAATTAGCGAGAAATTCATCGCTCATTTTGTTGCGTAAATAAGTTTTCACATTTTTATTGCAGAAAATGTTATCTTCGTAGTAGAT